CAATAAGCACACTTCTGATAGAGAGCTGATCTCAAATATTTACAAAGAATTCAAGAAGCAAGTCTCCAAAACACCAAAGAATTCAATTAAAAAGTGGTCTACAAAACTAAATAGAGAATTCTCAATAGAGGAGTCTAGAATATCTGAAAGGCATGTGAGAAAGTGCTTGCTATCCCTAGCCATCAGGGAAATGCAAACCAAAACAACTCTGAGATACCAACTTACTCCTGTCAGAATGGCTAAAATCAAAAACACCAATGACAGTTTATGCTGGAGAGGATGTGGAGAAGGGAACACTCATCCATTGCTGGTGGGAGTCCAAGATTGTACAGTCATTTTGGAAATCAGTATGGAAATTCCTCAGGAAAAAGTGTATCAGCCTACCACAAGACCCAGAAATTCCACTCTTAGGCATATATCAAAAAGATGCGCATTCATACAACAAGGACGTCTGTCCCACTATGTTCATAGCAGCATTATTTGTAATAGCTAGAACCTGGAAGCAACCTAGATGTCCCTCAAATGAAGAGTGGACAGAGAAAATGTCTCCAAAACACTAAAAGATCCAATTAAAAAGTGGGCTACAGAACTAAATAGAGAATTATCAATAGTGGAGTCTAAAATGGCTGAGAGACAGTTGAGAAAGTGCTCAATATCCTTAGCCATCCAGGAAATGCAAATCAAAACAACTCTGAGGTATGATCTCACTCCCATCAGAATGGCTAAAACCCAAAACACTGTTTCCCAGACTCTCTGGTAGTGGGATTGTAGACTGGCACTCCCCTGCTTTATGTCTAAAATCCATATATATCTTTTTGTGACTGGGTTTGCTGCACTCAGGATGGTTTCTTCTAGTACCATCCGTTTGCCTGCAAATTTCAAGATTCCATTGTTGTTTTCGGCTGAGTAGTACTCTATTGCGTACTTTGGGTAGTAGATCAGTATTTATCCCTGGCTCACAAATGGATTTTGGGTGCCCATGCCACAATGAGGGATGCTCTCTGAATCTGGACACTTGGGGGAGGGCCTAAGCCCTCCCAGGAACAAAATGATAGACTCTAGAGATCACCCATGGAGGGCCTTACCCTCCCCGAGGAAGGGAATGGAATTCTGTTTATGGCTGGGGGGGCCTGGAGTGGGGAGAAGCCAGAATGGAGTGGAGGGAATGAGATCTGGGACTGACATGAGAAGCAAGCTTTTTTCGAATTTAAATATATAATAAAAAGTGTTTAAAAATACTAATTACAGTTTATGCTGGAGAGGATGTAGAGAAATGGGAACACTCTCCCACTGCTGGTGGGAATGCCAACTTGTACAGACTTTGAAGATCAGTATGGAGATTCCTCAGGAAAATGGACATCAGTCTACCACAAGATCCAGCAATTCCACTCTTATGCATATATCCAAAAGATGCACATTCATGCAACAAGGATGTCTGTTCCACTATGTTCACAGTAGTGTTATTTGTACAGTAGTGTTATTTGTAATAATCAGAACCTGGAAGCAACCTAGATACATCTCAATTAAATAGTGGGTAAAGATACTGTGGTACATTTACATAATGGATACTACTCAGTATAAAAAAACAATGACATCTTGAAATGCTCAGTCAAATTGTTGGAACTTTCCTGAGTGAGGTAACCCAGGCACAGAAAGACAAACATGGTATGTACTTACTCATATATGCATATTAGAAATAGAGCAAAGGATTACCAGCCTACAAGTCACAACCCCAAAGAAGTTAGGAAACATGAAGGACCCTAAGAGAGACATACATGGTCCCTCAAAGAAGGAGAAAGGAACAAATTGAGAGCATGGGGGTTGGGGAGAGACAGGAGGGAGGTAACAGAAAGAGAAAGGCAGAAGAGGAGGGGAGAGGAGAAAATGAGGGATCAGGAAGATTCAGTTGGGGGAAGAAAAGAGTAGAGTAATAAAAGAGATACTTTAATAGAGGGAGCCATAATAGGTTTACAGAGAAATCTGGCACTAAGAAAATGTCCAGAGATCTACAATGATGACCTCAATTAAGATTCTAAGCACTGGTGGAGAGGCTACTTTAAATGACTTTCCCCTATTATTAGATTGATGACTACCTTAAATGCCATTCTAGAATCTTCATCGAGTAGCTGACGGAAGCAGAAGCAGAGATTCACAGCTAAGCAATGAGTCAATGGAATCCCCTTGTAGAGAGGGAGAAGTGATGAGTAAAGGGGTTTGACCATGCTGAGTAAGCCCACAGAAACAGCTGACCTGACCAAATGGGAGCTCACAGACATCAGTCTGACAGCTGGAGAACCAGCATAGGATTGAACCAGGCCCCTGAATGTGGGTGTCAATTAGAAAGTATGGGCAGTCTGTGGGGCCTCTGGCAGTGGAACCAGTATTTATTCCTAGTGCACAAATGGATTTTAAGGAGCCCATTCCCCATGGAGTGATACTTTCTCAGCTTAGATCCATGGAGGAGGGTCTAGGCCCTGCCCCAAATGATGTGACAGATGTTGATGACCCTCCATGGAAGGCCTCACCATCCTTGGTGAGTGGATGGGGGTGGAAACAGGGTATTGGTAGAGAGTATGGTAGTATTGAGAGCGAAGGAACTGGGATTTATAAGTAAATTAAGATTATTTATAAACTGTTATATTTTTGGTTGTGAGCCTAGCCTTTAACGCCTGAGCTATCCCTGAGCAAATTGGCAAAGAATGGGCTGGCAAAACCAGCAGAGACAGCTGATCTGAACAGGGGAGAGCTCTTGGACCGCAGACTGACAGCGGGGAGGCTAACATGGGACTGATCTGGACCCCCCCCAAATGTGAGTGTCAGTGAGAAGGCCTGGGCAACCTATGGGGCCTTGAGAAGTGGATCAGTGTCTATCCCTGGAATACAAACAGTCATCGTGTGCCCATAGCACAAAGAGGGATGCTCTCTCAGCCTGGACTCATAGAGGAATGCCTGGACCCTACCCGGAGTGAAATGACAGACTCTAGATATCCCCTATGTGGAAGGAATTGGCAATAGGGTGGGAGGCTGGGGGGGGAAGGGGAGTGCCGGAGGAGGGGAGGGAGAGGGAACTGGGATTGACATGTAAAACAAGCTATTTAAAATTAAAATAAAAATGATAAAAAAATAAAAATTAAAAAAGTTTTCTTAAAAAAAGATTATTTATAAACTAAATAAAAATTTGTTAAAAGGTGAAAAAAGAACACCCTTTGCAACAAAAACTCAGACATTTGTGGAGAATGAATGAATGATGTTGCAGACCCTGTATGCCCATGGATTTATTAAAGAAACTGACAGGTTTAGGGATACAGAGTTGAATTTTTCCATTTGCTCTTATTATGTGTGAGTGTGTGTACAAGAGAATGTCTCAGGGTGTGGCAGTGGGAGCGGGACACAGTAACTAGGTGGGGGGCAAAGGACTTGTGTCCATTAGTCACTGCTTTTCAGAAAAAAAACAAATGCTTATAACTATTGAGCCACATTATTGATCAACACCACCATGAGTTTTTTCTGGGTGCCAAGCCTACAAGACAAGTGTATCGTGGACACGCTGATTTAATATGGATAAGAAATAACCCTGAACTCCCATTACTTTTTCAGATTCACCAAGAAAAACAATAAATTTCCTGCTGCTGAATCTCTGGCCCACCCTGTGTCTTCTCCCCTACAAATCCAGTCTTCTCTAAAGCCCTGTTCCCCTTAAAAGACTCCAAACTGTAGATCAGTCCTCTTCTGTCACCTCGGGGTGTCCTCGTCTGTGAATAGATGTCGCTGAGAGTCAGTGACCCACTTCAGAGGGATACAAGAGTGCATCCCTAGTCTCTCTGGCCTGGTACATAATCCTCCTGTGGCATATCTGCTCCCAAGCTCTGCTATCCTTCCTCCATCTGAGCTGAGACTCCAAGCAGAAGCATCTCCCAGAGATCCATGTTCTGTGGGGGGGTTCTGTTCCAAACACTGCTCTGCCCCCTTACTCTAAGTCCCTCTCCATTTCTCTATTTATGTTCCACTCCTCCAAATCAAACAGTGATCAAACATGCTGTTGAGTATACCTGTGCTCTGAGACAACAGATGCTCACCCTGGGATTTACCTCTGTGATTTCCTGATCCAGGGTCTGTCAGTCCCAAAGTGGGAGCCTCTGTACTCCTTGTGAGACACAGAAACCCTGCCCCTTCTGGGCACCCAGTTGACCATGTTTATTCAATGCACTAAAAAAGATGTAATATCCACTTTGATGGAAGGGGACAGAGATGTCCCTAATGCTTCATTGAGATCACCTGAGTGGTGCATGGGGAAGGGGAGAAATCCACTCTCTTTGCCTCCTCTCTTTGTTCCCTTAGTGCCTTGACTTTCTTTTTCTGAAGTCTCATAAGCCCATCAGAACATATGGGTAATGAACTGAGCACCTATCAAGCTTAGTTCTCCCTGTTTAGTCTGTGAAGAATATATCCAGGGGACATAGACTAACCATATAGCTCATAACAGTGCTTTAGCTGGTTCCAAAGATGCAGGACTTAGACTATGAAAAGGCATTGTTTCTTGCCATCAGGAAGTCAATATCCAACCTTTATTAAAGGATTCTTAAGGCCACCTGTAGTTGATTATGGAACAGGGGTCTGGAGGCAGGGCATCTTGCTGCTCACATCTCAGAGACAATCACAAATTTTCCTTCATCAGGTCAAATGTTGATTCCCTTTGGGTCTTTCTCAAGGACACATTCCTGGTAAGAAGTCCAAGAGTCTAGACAGAGGCTGATATCCCTGGCTGAGTTACCCATCATGCATTCACCTATGTGCAAGGTGAAGTCAAAGGAAGGATTCTGACTTATTGCATCATTCTAAACCATGAGTGTCCTGAACTGAGGACTCATACCACAAAATAAAAATCAGTGCACAGGGAAGGAAGGCACAGGGGAAGAAGGCACAGGCCATTATAATGTGTGTGTGTGTGTCCAATGTAACAATCCCCACTAACAACCCAGAATTCACAAAGAATCACTTACTGTGCACATGAAGGTCAATGGTTGTTGTTGATACAATATCTTCTTGTCTATTTAAGGTTTGTAGGGTATATGAGCCTGTGTCCTTCCATGTGACATTTCTGAGCAATAGGGATCCATTGTGGTATAGTGTCTCTCTACCACTGTGTAGAGGCCCTGGAGCACTTAAACCTTTGTTCAGTGCATACAAACCAATTATATTGTCCGTAATTTTCACCCCTTTGGACCAAACTAACGTTGCAAGATTCTCTGGCAGATTGTCGACAAGAAGAAGGACATTTTCTCCTTCAACCACATGGGGTGGGACAGATTCAATGGTGACATGTGCAGTGGAGGTGGAGATGTGCCAGCATGTTAAAAGGGATGCTATATGGGAACAGAAAAAAGAAATTATCAATATTAAGCAGATGTGGTCATCACTCAGATTATATGTGGGGGTATGAATGTGTCCACCATCCTTGGTAGACATAGTAGCATGATTTCCATTCCCTTGAAGACAAGGGCTATGTCATTAACTCTCCTAGAAATACTCTGCCCAGGTTCTACCTGGTTCCCCCAACAGTTCCCTGTATTGCTTATCACACAGAGCATATGGTGAGGAGCAGTGCCCCTCTGAAGTCTTTCTCTGGAAAGATTCACTTTTTTCCTTTTTCTCTACCCCCTTTGTAATTTCAATCAACCCATGATTTCATGGGATACACTGACATCAGTTCCACAGGAGCCAGGGAGTTGTGAGGACAGTGATTAGTGTGACTGTTTTGCAAATTTAAGCTCCTTTTCAAACAAAAATGGATAAAACAAAAAGAGGTGAAAGATAGGAGGGAGGGAGGGAGGGAGGAAGGGAGGAAAATGCCCCTCGGAGATTAACTACATAGTTAACAAATTGGAGTTGGATAATAATTGTACTCCAGTGTAATTTAATTTGTTTTACGACTGCCCATGTGCTGTATGTGTGTAGTTCTGAAAGCATGTATGTGCATATATGCAGGTGAAAGGTATGCTGTATATGTGTGTGGAGGACAAAGTCTCAGTGTGGATATGTAGGGAAGCATGCCACAGTACATGTAGGGACAAAAGTATCCCACTATGTTCCAGTGTGGGTGCATGCCACCGCACCTCTAGGAAAAAGTGTCGCAGGGTGCCAATGTGTGGGTGCATGACATGGCACCTGGGTGCAGGACACAGAAGAGCCTGCATGAGGCTGTTCTCTCCATCTACCATGAGGGAGCAGAAAACTGAATTAAGGCTATCATGTCTCCACATACTAACCCATATTTGATTTCTATTTGGAGAATCACAATGTCATTTTGGAGAGCATCAGACTTCAGAGCATGGCAGCCAATGTCATTGATTGTGAACATGAAGTGTTTGAGGCTCTTCTCATGCCCTCATTACCTCCTGTACTCTGAGAGTTTCAGGATGCTGAGTCTCTGTCCCTCTTTGTACCTTCTGTCCCATGACTGCAAACAGTAATCTCAAGTTTAGTCTCATGTTCCAGTTCTATTTAGGAAACTCCAGTCTTCCTACAAGGTCCTACCACCCTCACAGTCAGAGAGTGAGTGAACTTACCTGTGAGCAGAAGCCCCTGCCAGGGACTGTACCCATTGCAGAGAAGGACAAAGGACGTCTCCATCACTCTTCCCACCTCGCTGTTCTCCCTTTCAAGAGAAGAACTTCAGCTTCTATAAGGTGCTCTATTTCTGCAGCTATCTTTCCCATGAGCTCAGTTGCCTTTCAGGCAATAGGCTGTGTCCAAGGCACTGTTCAATCCTTTCCACTCAAGTGGAACCCAACACCCAGTTCAACTTCCCTTTACGTTTCTCCTCCAAGCAACAATGCTGATGAGCATCCGCGTGCCCTAGAGAACAATGACTCATCAGGGCTGACACCTGCTGGGTCTTGCCTTGGGTCTGTCAGCAACAGAGGGAGTCTTGAACTAACCTATGTGTCCTTGTGACACAGAGATCCAGGTGAGCATCCTGCCTGCCCTGTGTTCTCAATGGGTATTTTTGTACTTCACTGAGGAAAGTTACAGAGATGTCTCTGAAGCCTGGAAAGGATCAGCTGAGTGATGACTAGGAATGAAGATAACTCTTTTATCACTAACATAACCAGTCAAACTTGTATCCAAGGACAGAGGCCCAGGAGAGGTTACATGAGGAGTTTCATATTCATAGTGTAAAACAGATGAATAATCATCCTTGAAAGGACTGTGGGCTCCACGTTACTATGGATCATTTCAAGTCAACATTCTAGCATTATGTGTTATGTAAGGGTGTTAGGTCACCCATGTCCTCTCTGATATTCCTGTGTCATCATTGCCCAATGCCTAGCTGATTCCCTAGTGGTAATCTTGTCTTCCTTTATGAGAGATGCCAGGAGAGAGAGGACCTTAGGAATCCTCATATAAAAAGGTCTCAGCAAAATGAAGCAGCCAGTAGGTGTGACTGAGACAAGGCAGGGAGCTCATGGTTATTAGGGACAGGGATAGAAACAAGTCTACCAAGCAAGATCATGCCTCACTCAAGGAAACAATTTTCTGACAGTGAATATGTGTCCTGATATTAATCCATGTGTTTAACTGGGAGAACTGCAATCTAGTGTCTGGGGCTACATCATGCATGGTCAAAAAAAGCCATTGTGACCTGCTCTGAAACACTGAATACATATGAGATGCAAGGTTTGCTCACTGTCCTCTCCTGAATTCAAAACACCACCTAGTATAGGGTAGGTCTAGAAGACAAGCTTTCAGAATTGTCCTGGGAATAACTAGTTGAAGTTGAAATGTTCAACAAGAGGCCAAGCATCCTCAGTAGGAGCCTTGTGGTGAGTAATGTTAGAGGAAAGTTCTAGGACATGAAAGAGGAGACATCCGGACATTGTGCTCCATGTCTGTAATTTCAAACTTGGTAGGCAGAAACAGGTAGATCTCTGTGAGTTAAAAACTAGCATAGTCTACTAAGTAAGTTCCAGGACAGACAATTATTACTCAGAGAAACCCATTCTTGTAAAATAGAGAAGACACCAATATACTAATGGAGGGGCTGCACATACACTTCAGAATCATCACTGATGTAGAAATCCCTCCTTCTCTTTGCCTACTGGGTGCTGAGAGGTTCTGTGCATGAGTACAGGGAATAGGGATTTCAAATGGTTATGTCATCTGCTCTTCGCTATACTATATTCTATATTTCTCTAACTCTGATTGAAAAAAAAATAGCCTGAGCAAAAAAAAAAGTCTTAGTAGAGAGTAAGGGTGCATTTCCTTTTGGGGCTGTATCAAAACATAGCACTGAAGGAAGTCAAGGCACAGAACATGATGCTTACTGAACGACTCCCTGGCTCACTCTCAGACTCAGGCTAAGCCAATTTCTTATGCAACCAAGACCATCTGCCTAGTGAGAGTGTTGCACACAGTGGCCTGGGCCCACCTCCATTAATTAAGATAATCCCTTACAGACATATACAGCCTGACCTGATAAAGGTAGTTACTTTGTTGATACTCCTTTTTTCACCCAGGTGACATTGGACTGTGTCAAAGTGACAGCTAGTGGCAAGTAGAACACTATTTCAAACTGCTACGTCCTCCTCCTCCACAGGGAGACTTAAAAAGAAGTTCCCCATAATTAAGTGGGTGCCCCTCTTTGTTTCCTGTGCTCATCACCAATCCAAGTGTCCACTGTCCCACACAGCTGGATCCTAGAGCCAGGGCACAGCTCAGGGGCACATAAATTGGTATATACTTCCTAGATCCTGGGTCCAGGGACACTGCGATGTCCACCACAGACATTGTGAAGAGTGAGTGAAACAATGCCATCAAGTATTAGTTTCATCCTGTCATCAGCTGTCCACTCCCACACTTTCTGTGGGGACTTTACACAGCATGTCTACTAAAATGTACAAATTATAGTTTATAGGTTCAGTGGCTGAGTTGGTGTCCCAATCCCTCTACTGGAAGTCTTGTCGGAGATGGTCTGGTCAGGTTCTACATCCCCCTTTGTTAGGAGTCTCAGCTAGAATCACCTCCATAGATTCTGGGGACTTTCCATTACACTAGGTTTCTAAATCCTCCCAGAGGTGCCCCAGGTTCCATTTGTCTCCCCCCAGTACTTTCCATGCACCATTCCTCCCCCTGAGTCCTCCTGTTTCAACATCCACCATCCCCATAAGACCGCTTTCCCCTTCCAACTGCAATGTCTATTGTAAATTCACTTCATAATGGGGCCTTGTTGGAGTAGTGTGCTGTTGTTAAAACTGTTTCACTGTGGAGATGGTATTTAAGGTCTCATATATGCTCAAATCATGTCCAATGAGCTTCTTCATCAAAATAGAAGGACTCTCAGCTCCTGCTCCAGCACCACATGAAACCAGGTTGCCCCATGAAGATAATAGACTAAAGTCCTAAAAATGTAAGACACCAGAATTAAATCTTTTTCCTTTATTAGAGTTGTCAATCTCATGCTATCTAGTCACAAAAACCATAAAAACCTAATTAACAGAGGCGTGTCCCTTGTATCCCTGGTCTCATCAAAACTTTTATCATGAAGGAGATTTAGACTTTGTCAAAAGCTTTATCAGCATTTAATAAGCAGATTGTGTGAGGTTTTTTTCCTTTCAGATTATTTATATTAGATATTACATTGACAGATTCTGTATGTTGAATCATCCTTGGATCTTTTTTATGTGTTCTTGCATATGGTTTACAGGTATTAAGTATTTTTGCAACTAATTGTCATGAAGGAAATTGGTCTATAATTCTCTTTCTTTGTTGTGTCTTTGTGTGATTTGGGTATCAGTGTGACTGTGCCAATGTTCCTTCCATTTCTATTTTATGGAGTAATTTGAGGAGTATTTATCTTACCACTTCTGTGAAAGTCTCATCAAATTCTCTCCTAAAACCATCTAGTTCTGGGCCTTTTGGTGGATTGGGAGAATTTTAATGTCTGCTTGTACTCGTTGGGAGTTATAGGCATATTCCAATTGTTTACCTGATGAATCTTTATTTAACTATGGTAACTGGTACCTGAAACAGAAATATTAAACTACACAAATTTAGGGATGTCCTATGATATTTATTGAAAGTGAAATCACTTATGTGAACAGCCAAAAAAGCTGAGAACCAAAGGTCCACAAGTAGCTCTCCAGGTCAAAACCAAAACCCACAGAGAAAGAGCTCTCTCCTCCTAGCTCTATTTACCCATAGGTACCCATGATCACACCCACACGGAAGTGGTCAGCTCTATGGATATATAAAATCACTCCCTATAATTTCCCTTTTAGTATAAGAAAATATTGAAGCTTGATACGAAGCTCAAGCATATGCAACATATATACACAGTAAGTATGATCACTCCCTACAGTTACCTATCAAGAAAACTTTTTTGTTAACTTCTTTTTTTTGTTTTTTTTAATCATTTTTATTTTAATTTTAAATAGCTTGTTTTACATGTCAATCCCAGTTCCCTCTCCCTCCCCTCCTCCCGCATTCCCCTTACCGCCCCCCTCCCACCCTATTGCCAAATCCTTCCACATAGGGGATATCTAGAGTCTATCATTTTACTCTGGGTAGGGTCCAGGCACTCCCCTAAGAGTCCAGGCTGAGAGAGCATCCCTCTTTGTGCTATAGGCACACGAAGACTGTTTGTATACCAGGGATAGACACTGATCCACAGCTCAGAGCCCCATAGGTTGCCCAGATCTTCTCGCTGACACTCACATTTGGGGGGTCCAGATCAGTCCCATGCTGGCCTCCCCACTGTCGGTCTGGGGTCCAAGAGCTCTCCCCTGTTTAGATCAGCTGTCTCTGCTGGTTTTGCCAGCCCATTCTTTGCCAATTTGCTCATCACTCCTCTCTCTCTGTCACTGGGTTCCTTGGATTCAGTTCACTGATTAATTGTGTGTTTGCCTCTGCTTCCATCAGTCACAGGATGAAGGCTCCCGGATGGTTATAGACATCAAGTTCATTATCAGGAATGGGCATTCGAGGTGGGCTCTCCATTATTGCTTAGCTTGCCAATTGGTGTTATCCCTTTAGATCCCTCGAGGTCACTCTGGTGCCTGATCTGTATTCGATCCTATGATTCCCTCTTCCCCCTATTCTACCCCCACCCCCTCAACTTCCTGTTCCCCCATTACCAACTCTCTTCCTCTTCACCCCCTCTCTTCTTCCCAGGTCCCGCTCCCCCCCACCCCTCGCCGTGTTCCCCATCCATTCAGAGGATCTTGTCTCAATCCTCTTCTCTTGGGTACTATGCATATATGCATATCTTTTAGGTTCTTTCCTGTTTCCCAGACTCTCTATCAGTGGAAGTGCAGACTGGCACTATCCTGATCCATGTCTAAAATCCATATATGAGTGAGTACATACCATGTTTGTCTTTTTGCGACTGGGTTACCTCACTCAGGATGGTTTCTTCCGGTGATATCCATTTCCCTGCGAATTTCAAGATTCCATTGTTTTTTCTGCTGAGTAATACTCCATTGTGTAAATGTACCACATTTTCTCTATCCACTCTTCAGTTGAGGGGCATCTAGGTTGCTTCCAGGTTCTGGCTATTACAAATAATGCTGCTATGAACATAGTGGGGCAGATGCCCTTGTTGTATGAACTTGCCTCATTTGGATATATGCCTA